CGCAGAGTTCGTGCGCACGGCCGTAGCAAAAAATAAAACCGAGTGCGCGTTAATTTTCCATGTCAGTTCACGTCATGTCAGTGCTGTCTTGCAGTTGTTGATTCGATTGACTTGGACGTTTGCCCCTTTTCCTTCAAGGGACGGGAGGGTGGGAAATCCACATCCTTCGGCATAAACGAAACTGCTTGTCCCGCCCGCCCTCACCTATAATACAGCAGTGATCTTTTCTTTTTGGCCACACCCCTGAGGGCAGCTGGTGGGCCATTCTGTGGTTCACATGCCGAAACTCGTACGAACACCTTAGCCCGCTGGAGTAAAACGAAGGATCGTCTCTCTCTCTTCTTGGTTACGGGCTTCGACCTTTCCGCTCGGGTGTTCCCCGCCCCGCGCACGTTCGACGCGGATGAATAAACTTAGCCGATGAATAAACTTAGTTTTCATTCCTTCAACGAAGCCGCGCATGCGATACAGCGTCCGCTCGATGTGCACCTAGGGCCTAGGGGCCTAGAATGTGTAGAGTTTCCTTTTCCGTCCTCGCCTCACATGCTCTGCTAGCCCAGCTTGGGAAGATGACTTTCGTGAAGCGGCGAAGAGTCTGTCGAATCCAAACAGCTCAAGACACAAACCATTTGCAGCATCTCCAAAGTACGAGCACATTTCCTGAGTCTTGCTTGTTCGGAGCCATGGACGGCGCGCAGCCTCTGAGCGCTTCCGAGGCACCCGACCTCGAAAGCAGCGGTTCGCATCGGCGTGTCGGTAGGGCTGTTTCGCTGCTACAGCTAGGACAACAAACGCTGAGGCGCGTGGAAAGCTTTCATTACAGCCGACAGGCCACGCCGTAGGCAGAAACCCCGCAAAGCTTGCAAGACTTTCGGTAAAAGAGGACCTTCCGCACCCGAACCCTACAAAACCTATGAGCCCTGAGCCCCTGAGCCCTAAGCCCTTAACCCTAAACTCTAAACTCTAAACCCTGTGAGACCTGAGCTTCAAGCCCTGACGGCCGCTACCTTTCGCGAGGATGCCGCACCGAACTCCGCAAGAGGACTCCTGGAGGCCACTGGGCCCAACGGATCGAGTCCAAGGGGCCTAAAAGGGCTCCAAAACCTCCCGAAATCTGAAGCCCCTAAACCCCGAAACCCTGAACCCCTAAACCCCTAAACCTTGAACCCCTAAACCCTCAACCCCTAAACGCTACATGGTAAGCTCTCTTGCCCGAGGTCACTTGGGGTGTGCCGAGTGTTCTCAGGAGATGGCAGGTTCTCCATACCTTAACCTACCAAAACCTAGTTTTTTGTAGGTTCTTATTATAAACCCTATTATGGAATTTATAGGGACCCTACAAAAAAGTAGGTTTTGGTAGGTTAAGGTAAACCTAAACCCTTAACCCTAAACCTTCGTACCCTAACCCCTTTGTGCCCAGAAAGATGAGCTGCGTCTTTCCACAGGGTGGTTGGGAGTTTGATAGGCTTTCGGGTTTCAGGGTTCGGTTTTTGTGTGCTCGGCATTTGTGCCATGGGCCTGTAGGAATCTCCAAATGTCGGACATCCTGGCTTCAGAGCTCACGAACTCGGGGTGCAAGATGCAAGGTTCAGGGTGGACCGTTTTGGATGTTGCAGGCGCAGTGCTTCAGGTCCAGGCGTCTGCAGAAAGGGGTAGTGACACAGTGTCGTGCTGTCGGCGTTTGAGCTCTTTTGTACTTGGGGCGAGGCGTCCGACATGGACAATGAGACGCCGATGAAGGGCACGAGTCAGATCTCCGAAGAGGAGCCCTAAACCCTAAACCCTAAACCTTAAACCCTAAACCCTAAACCCTAAACCCTAAACCCTAAACCCTAAACCTTACGGAAGCTGGAAGGTGTTTAAAGCCCTGCAGCGCCTCCCTGCACATCAAGTGGCATCTCTGGGGTCTGTCAGGATTTTTCATTATGGATGTATAGAACCAAGACAGTCAGCGAAGGGCCGAGACATTCTGCAAGTGAATGGGTAGTTCTCTAAATGAGGGTCCCTTTTTAGATCCTCAAAATAGCACGGCACCCTTCTAAACCCTA